CAGGCAGGACACAGGAAAACTTTTAGCTACAGCTGTGGATGCAAGTAAATGTATTTGTTAAACTTTGTTCTGGAATCAGTTTGGTTGAGAAAAGGGCTGTGCCTCTCCTGTACCCCCTTCCAGCTCATGTGTATGCTTGAAGGAGTTAACCAGGACTCTTCAAGAGACTGGAGCATCACATTTTCTGTTGTGTATGGAATATTACCACCTTTTAGTTTTATATGAGACTTGCATGGAGGGAGGCAGTAGTCAGATGACATTCAAATTAATCTATAGTTTTTAATTTAGATGGCTTTTAGAGATGTGTGTGAGTGCCCTCCCCTACCCCCAGTGCTTGGGAAAAAATCCAGGTCTTTGTACATGGTAGGAAAGCATTTTGCCACTGAGATGTGCTCTCTGCCCAAAGTACAATTTAAAAATATTTAAGAAGTAAACTTTAGGGCTAGTAAGATGGCTCAGTGGATAAAGGTTTGCTTCCATGCCCGATGAGCTATTTGATCCCTGGACTCATATGGTGGAAGGAGAGAACTGACTCCTGAAAGTTGTCCTCTGACCTCCACATATGCATGTGTATACACAATTACATAAAATAGAATACAAAATTAAAAATCGTAATTGTATTTGAACCTTGCCATATGATGCCATAGGATACTTAGAGACAGTAAATGGTTACTGTAGTGGAGCAAATTATTCATCATCTCATTTAATTTTTGTGCCAAGAGCAACTAAAATCTACTTATTCAACAAACATCCCTAATACAATAGTTTTATTAACTAGTTCTTACATTGTAGATTAGTTCTTTAGATTAGTTCAGCCTATATAATTTGTTTCGTTGTTGTTGTTTTTTGACACAGGCTCTCACATAGGCCAGACTGGCCTCAGACTCACTATGTAACTGATCCTCTTGTCTCTGCTTCTCAAATGCTAGAATTACAAGCTGCACCATCATGCTTGACCTCAGTGTTTTTTATTTGCATTTCTCTAAAGACTGATGGTGTTGAACATGTATGTTCACGAACCTCTTTGACATTCTAAATTTTTTTTTTTTAAGAAAAAAATGTCTGTTTGGGTGTTTTGCCCTTTTAAAAGTTCGATTATTTGTTTATTTAGTAGAGCTGTGACTCAAACCCAGGGCCGCCTGCATTTCAGGAACCTCTTCTGCTGCTGAGTCACACCCCCTAGTCTGGGTTATTTATTTATTTTTTAACTCTCAGTAATATATGCTGCCTCAATAGTGGTAAACCAATAGGCCCTGTACAGACTGTCTTCAAGTTCCTCTTCCCCCATCTCCTATGGGTATGGTCACAGTTTTGCTGTGTTTCTCATAGTCTCCTAATCCTTGCTGTCCCTCCGTAGAAGGCTAATAAAACTTTGTAAGACATGCTCTTCAAGTGGTCTTTCAAGAAAACTATTTTTTCCCTAGCATGTGGTTTGGACTTATTCACTTACTTTGAATCTGCATTTGCAAGGGCCAGTGTAGGAAAAATGGAATTATAATTTGCAAGGGTCTCTCTGACACCAAGATCTGTGGATAAGAGAGCAGTTGGGTTCAACATGTCTTAGCAAGTCTTGATTCAAACTTCAGTTTATTTTAGGCACCTATGAGCATAGCACAATTTAGAAAAAAGTTTCCTGGTGATAATTAACTCAATCCTGTGTACACAACAGAGCTCAAGCTGTGACTACATAGAAACTCTTTGTAAAGTACAGGTGACATCTTCCATAAAGATAGGTTCTGTAGATTAACTGAGAAAGCAGACTGAAGATAAGGTCTGGGGGAAAATAACATTATAGATTGACTGAGACAAACAAGCTCAAGATAAGGGATTGGGGAAGGGTCTGGTGTGGTCTCAGGGCAAAGGTCACTGGGCTCTTAGCTGCCTTTGGTCCCAGTCCTCTGTGTGTTGTGTTTAACATTTACCATTACTGTCCACTCGCGCTTATCTCTGAGCACAAGGACTTAGGTGCCTCCTGCAGTAAAGTATTTAACCTTGGCTTTTATATTTAATTTAGTTCTCTTTGCAGGAGGTCTCAAACTTGTGCTGTCCCTGTTCTAGCCTCCCAGGGGGCTTGGATTACACGTGTGTACCACTACTTCCAGCTTCAATTTTTCCTTTTCAAAATCTGAGACAAGGTCTCAGTGTGTAGCCTGGGCCGATCCTGAAGTTTCGATTCAGCTCTGTCTGCTAGGGCTGTAGTATGTACTACCAAACCCGACACAACCTCTATTTTGTTTTATACTGTCGTCTTTTGTCTTTCATATGAATCCTTATTTTATTTGCTTGTTTATTTTTGTGGGGCTTGAGCACAGGGCTCTCAGGACTTTAGTTTTTTACATTTTCAAGATTGAGTCAAAAGCTGCTTGTAAAATGGAGTCTTGCAGGGGAAGGCACAGCCTGAAAAAACTACCTTACACAACATAGAGTAACTTAGAGCAGGCCACAGCCTGATCATCACAACTTTTTTTTTCTGCCAGCATTATACTTAGGTCACAAACTGGCCTTGGATTTGCTGTAATCTTCCTACCTCAGCCTCCCAAAGTCAGCTACACAGTGGCCAGTGTCAAAGTCCCCTTTCAGATGGGTATCTTTGCCAAAGCCTGAGATGCTGTCTCAGGGCACAGTAGTGCATCATAGTCACCTCCAAATTTCCAGGTTTTTGTATTGCCCAACTAATTGGGCATTAGTTTTTTCAGGATTCACAGCTAAGGACTTGTTCATTAGCCTGTGGATGCCTCCTTGCAGCTAGTTCATTAGCATATCAAAGCCTGCCTTGGGATTGGCTTACTTCTGAGCTGCCTGTGGCTGGCTCTTGTCTTACAAACACTGCATTATTCCAAGTCACACAAAATGGTTTCACTTATGTTCCTAACAGTGAGAAAACAAGGCAGGTATAGAAAGTAATGGTGCTGCCTTTTAGCCTGTCTAGCAGATGGAGACTGTCCGTCCGAGAAATGCCTCCTGTGGTTTATTGCTGAGATAAGGAAGTCTGTTCTGAGGTTGCTTTTTATTTCATAGTGCTTAGTAGATGGAGTATTGTACTGTGGGGGTATCTGCATTGGATCCCAAATATCAGTAGAATAGGGATTATAGCGTATGTATTTTTTAAATGTACCATGTCAATATTGTTCTATGTTAATATGTAGAAATCTACTTCTTTCCCTTTTTTTTGCATGTGTATGTTATATGCATGTGTGTGTGGGGGGCACCTGTGTAGGTGGGTGCATGTGCATGTGTGTATAGGCTAGAGTTGGTGTCCTGTCTTCTTCTATCACTCTCTACTTTACTTACTGAAGCACGGTTTCTGACTAAACCTGGAGTTCTCAGATTGGACTAGTCTAGCTAGCCACTTTACCCTGGGGATCCCCTGTCTTTGCTTCCTAAATTTAGGGATTGCAGGTAGGTTGCCATGCCTATCCAGCTTGCTTGCTTGCTTGCTTCCTTCCTTCCTTTTTTTCAAGACAGGGTTTCTCTGTGTGGTCCTGGCCGACCTGGAATTAGCTCTGTAGATCAGGCTGGCCTTGAACTCATAGAGATCCCCCTGCCTCTGACTGGGATTAAGGGTGTGTGTATGTGAGTGATGGGAACTGGACTCTGGTTTTCATGCTTGGATGACAGGTACTTTATTATCTGAGCCCATTTTCCTCCTGACACAAGGTCTTGTTCTATATGGACCATTCTGGCCATGAACTTGCACTGTTCTCATCCCTGGGAGTGTAAGCCACTACACTCAGCTTTTCTTCCCTACTTTTTGAGTAGATAATGCATTTAAAGTTTGTTGTATGTAAAGCTGTATGTTACCAGGCTCATTGGTCTTGTTCGTACATGTTTCTTGTCTAGGCTACATTGGGAGTTTGAGCTACATAGGGAGACCTTGTCTCAAATCAACAACAAACATCTAAAAAAACTGAGAATTCAGTAAGTTTTATTTGCTTCTTGGTTAAAAACATGAAAACAAGGTGAGTGACTTTAGGGGCTGGACTGTAGATCAGGAGTATAGCATGTGTTCAGTAGTCATAAGGCTGTGTGCGTGCACCAGGAGACATCTTTGTAGCATTTCTGTGCACTACAGCTTTCTACAAAGCAATTTGTATCTAGAGCCACCTTTGTATTCTTTGGGTCTTGTGCTGAGCTCAGGAACATTTGTGTAGATTGGTAATTGTTCTAGAGAATCGTTCTTACTTCCTAAACACTTATTTATGTATTTATTTATGTATGTATGTATTTATTTATTTGGTGTGTGTGTGTGTGTGTGTGTGTGTGTGTGTGTGTGTGTGTGTGTGTACACACAACTTCATGAGTTGATTTTCTTCTTCTACCTTGTGAGTCCCAGGGATCAAACTCAGGTCATCAGTCTTGGCAGCAGGTGCCTTCATCACATGAACTATCTTGCCAGCCTTTGACTGAATCAGATATGTTCAAGTTTGGTTTCATTTACTTATTGCTTTAGTTTGAGGTACTGGAGATTAAACCTAGTGCCTCAAACATATTCAGCACTTGCTGCACCACTGAGCTACACTGAGCTATGAATTTTTCATGTATGCTTCGAGTAATTCCTCTGTTTGGACAAATACATCATGAGAAAATAAGCTTGTTTTGTTTTTGTGATTATCATATGCTTCAAACTAGGATGGAACCTGAAAACTACTGGCTAGATTAAGTATTTCTTTTCATAGTCCAATTCCTGTGACTAAGATAAACAAAAAAATTCTGCTTTATAGAAATAAGGTTTGTACATTCCTGTCTAAGACATGATTATGCTGTTTCTCACCATTAATTTTTACACATGATGAAAGACTAGTATATTTATATATATTACAGAGAGAATAATAAAGCATGTTTTTATCTGATTTTTATGTCTAGTATTCAATAAAAATTTCTCCTTGAATAGCAAAATTATGCAGGGATACTGTACACTGAAATGAAGAGGAAGCTTAGCTTTACTGCAGTCTGAGCTGGTGTAACCTAACTAGCTAGAGGATATGCAAGTCCTGATTGACAGCAGGACCAGCAGTGTGCAGATTTTGTAAGGGAGAACACCCAGCTCAGAAGCAGGGATTAGAGCTCTGTTAGGAGTCACTACACTCACCCTCGAGTCTCCTAGTTCTCGGTCTACTAGATTTGTAAACAAACAGCACAAAACAGTTCCTCTTTTGTTTTTATTAAAGTGATACTGCAGTGCTGTTTCAGCCCATCAGCCAGGCATACATGTGTGGAAATTTGATAGTCTCACTAAATTAGCTCATTTTAAGCTGTGTTCCTTGCTTATCTCTGGACCTTTGTGCATTAAATCCTATCTCGAGCCGCTCTCTTTACACACAAGTGTTTTGCTTGTGCTTTCCTGCCTTCTGTGAGCAGCTTTATGTAGGTCAGGCTTGGCTTAAGCAGCTTTCCCGAACCTGCGTCAGCTTAAGCTGGAGGAATTTTAATAAGCCCTCCCCTGTAGGCGTGGGCCTAAATGGGGCTAGCCTAGTTAAGCCTGATCTTTCTGTTTGTGAAAAGAGCTGAGCAGAGCTGAAGGCTGCATGGTGGATTCAGAAACTGCCTACTTAATTTCAAAAGAACAATGGTAGGGAAGGCTAGGTCTTCCAATTTTACCCTGTCTGAAAAGCTTGATCTGCTAAGCCTTGTGAAGCCATATGTGAAAATTCTCGAAGAGCACACTAATAAAAATTCAGTAATAGTGGAAAAGAATAGATGTTGGGATGTCATAGCAGTTAACTATAATGCAATTGGAGTAGACCGCCCTCCTCGAACAGCACAGGGCCTACGCAGCCTTTACAAAAGGCTCAAAGAATATGCCAAACAGGAGCTATTGCAGCAAAAGGAGGCCCAATCAGATTTTAAAAGCAATATTTCCGAGCCAACCAAGAAAGTTATGGAGATGATTCCCCAGATCTCCAGCTTTTGCCTGATAAGAGACAGGAACCACATACAAAGGTAAGCTTTATTTTATTTTGTTGTGGGAAATGATGGCGCCTCCTAGCTATTGGGCTCTGGCTTAGTTGTGATAGAGATATGCATGGTAAGCATCCCCACAAGGGGAGCCATGAATAGAGTCTTTGTTTTGCTTTCTTGAAAAAAAAAAAAAAAGTAAAGCTCTGAGGAATTTTTCTGTTGCGCTTGATTTAAACTACTTTTTACTGTGTTCTCCCTGCTTCATCGGGCAGTTCCTATAAGTAAAGGTTAGGGGAGAATTAATGGGATGCAGCTTGTGACATCACTAAATAAACTTGTCAAAGACTTCAGTAGCATGTACAGAATAATGAGTTTCATCATGACATTTTCATACATATGTATTATTGTACTTTGACTATATCTCATAAACTTTTTAAGCCTTAAAATTAGATTATTTGCTTTTGAGATACATTATTCTTATTTAAGATTGCATTTCATTGAAATGGGTTTCTTGATTTTTTTTTATATAAAATTTGTATGAAGTTAGTAGTTTTGGAGCAAATGGAAACTGTTTTTTGTGAATCATTACTGTGTATATTTCCTGAGTATGCGCTGAACTAACAAAACTAAAATCAAAGTCATTAATGACATGATTGTGTATGTAAAGACTGTTTAGTTTTTCTAATATGTTTGGAATAGATAAGATGGAAACATTAACTAAAGGAAGTCAATACCTAATTAAGAGATTCAGATTACATAATAAAATAAAGTGTAATTGATTAATGGTCTAGTTTCACTTTGATATTGGGTCATAGGAAAGGATAAACTTTCTCATACTGCTCTGTAAGTTACAAAACTCAGTTTTAGTAAGAGCAACCTGGGTTAGGGCTTGAAAACAATTTTGGGTTAAGTTTGTTCTATATGATTATTTGCCTAAGAATCTTAAAAGCTGTTACCTGTGACTAATTCAAATTTTAACTCTTGACATAGATAAAAATGACAGCCATTCTTCTACCAATCAGTTAGGGTAATTTAAACAAACTGTAAACTCTTTGTTTGTTGAAGGGCCTTTCAAACAAAGATTCAGTGTGCTCTCCTGCTCTGGAGAAGCAGCGTGTAAGCAGAGTTGCTGATTACTTGTAGAACTTGAAGTTAGGAGAGAAACAGGGCAGGAAAACTTGAGCTGAGCCTGTCTGTTGCTTTGGTAATTTATTAGGAAATATTTTTGAGCTTTTTACCCTATCCTGCTTATTTCTACTTGATAGCATAAATTTAAAAAAGCACCCCACTTGGGGATCCAGGACATGGCTATGCAGTGGGTTAATTCTTGGGGCTACTGGTAGGAATTTTCACTGTTGTGACAAATGATGAGATTCTGTGTTGGATGGATAATAATTTCCGCAGTAAAATTGTTTGTCACTACACAACTTGTTTTGAATTTTGTCTCTTTCAAAAACAGCTTAGAGAAACATGGTTTTTGTATTACTGGCACAAAACTATATACCGTTTGGATACTAAATTTAGATTTTCATAATTTGAAACTGATATATAAGCACTGCTTTTAGTTAGTTGTCTATTTAAAGAAATGCAGTGAATACAGAAGAGAACATTAGTAGTTACCTGTTTATATTTTGATCATCATTAATATAAACATACACATGTGAGTTTTTGACGCACCAACATTTCTCTGATAAGAATGAGTTAGCTGATTGTATAGTTCTGTATCTGTTGTTTAAATTGCACTGTTTATTAGTTTTTTAAATGAAGAATATAAAAAATGCACCACTTATGTTAGTACCTACACTGACAGTTTTCTGCTAGCTTATTCATTTAATATACTTCTGTATTTAATGTGCTTATACATATTTAGCTGAGATCATCACAAATCTTAATTATCCCAGAAGTTTATAAATCTTTAATTTTGATTATATTTTTACACAAGTATTACTATTAATTTGATTGGACTCTCTACTAGAGAATTTTACTGCATGTGTTATATATTTTTTAAAGTGTCTATTCTATTTTGTAACTTATTTTACAACTTAGAATGATTTTAAAATTTTTTATGTCTCTGAAAAGCAGATTATAATGTTTTATGATCTTTTTGATCCTCTAAATTTAGACTTTCAGTTTTTAGAAATTTTAGTTCTGTTTATCTTTCTTGAGACTTTCTCTAATGTTTTATTACTTATGTTTCACCAAAATGGAATGAATAATCTAGGCATAAGCATATTTTTAATTTGTATGGGAGTATAATACCTATATCTATGTGCTACATACTATTTTGCAGTAGAAATTATGAAGACAATTTAAAACAATTTTTATTTATAGTTTTAACCTTCTCATATCCTATACTTTAGAACAACAGTTCTCAAACCTATAGGTTGTGACCGCTTCAGGGGTTGCATATCAGATATCCTGCATATCGGATATCTACATATCTGTTATGTGATTCATAACAGTGGCAAAACTACACTTAGGAAGTAGCAAAGAAATAATTTTATGTTTGGTTCCATAAATAGTCTTCTGCCATCTTCCTCAAAGTCATCAGCTTTTATGGTTTGTAGATCAGTCCAGGAGAACAAAAGCAGAAGATATCAAATGATTCTTTACAGCATTTTAGAACCTCAATAATGTAGGGACAATTAATGTCTCTTTGAGAACATTAAAATGGCTTTTCTGGGCTCTGTTGGTAAAAGTATTTGCTGCCAAGCTTGGTGACCTGCCTTTGATCCTAGTACCTACATGGTGGGAGGAAAGAGGAGAGAACCAACTCATATATTGTGTTCTGACCTCCAAATACATACAAATAAATAAATGTTAAAAAAAAAAAAGGTTTTCTTTTTCTTTTTAAACTTTTGCTAAGTCTGGGGAGATGGTTCTGTTAATGAAGTGCCGGCCACATAAGCATGAGGATCTGAATTCAGACCCCCAGAACACATGTAAAAAGCTAGACATGGCAGTATTTCCAGCATTGGGAGGACTTGAAGACAGGTGTATCCTGAAGTTCATTGGCCACTCAATGGATGAGCTTCTGGTTCAGAGGGACTCTACCTCAAAAAAGGGGTAGAGCACCATGGAAGAAAGACACCTGACATTGACCTTGGGTCTCTGTGGGTCCTACACTCATGTGTGCACCCAACACACACAAACAGACACACACTCACATGTGCACTCACAAATTGGCTTTTCTTTATCTTACTAACTTTGTATAGTATTTGTAATTTTCTATCATTGTAAGAGCCTAATATTAAATTTAAGAACAGAGGGCTAGAGATGTAGAGAGCTTGCCCAGTGTGCCAAGCAAGGTCCTTGACTCAGTTATCAGCACCACAAAACAAAATAGATTAAGGATGTAGGAGCCCTATATGTATATATTACTAAAGTCATAGTCTTAGTCATTTTTGTATAGTTTTGAAACTATACAAAAAAATCACTTTTTGTGTAGTTTCAAATCATTATTTTTTTTTTTTTCTAGCAGTTGAAGAAAGGCTTTTATTAGGGGCCAGGAAATAACATACATACAGCAGGCACACAGAAAGACAAAGCGGAGAGGGAACTTGGGGAGCAGAAGGCCATTTCTTGAGGGCTAGTTTGTTTGTTCGAGTCTTTGAAAGGACTTCCTTCCTTGTTTTAGGGTTGGTGGATTTAAGAAAGACAGGTTGGCTGATTGGCCCACAACTGTAAACATGTCCTGATCTGGCTGTGAATTTGTGGAGCTGGTCCATCCGCAGGGGCCTACCTGCAGGAGAGAAAGCCCACAAGGCCTTTGTTTTAAGCTGCTAGGCTTCCTTCTCAGATCCAGAGGGTGAGGAAGAAGCCAGCCATCTTAGAAGTTCACCATCGTTATTACCTAGGCTGGACCCCTCTCCCCAACTTTCTGTCTGTCAGGGAAATGGTCTGACTTCTAGTCCCTCCCTTCTGCTTCCACCAGCCACTGTCATCTGCTGAAGGTCACTTGTGTTTGGTGGGAGTGGGGTGGAAGTGGGGGACAAGAAGAGGCTGGGTGTGTGGAGAGTCCTCTTTCGGCTAGGATTGGTAAATAGCTCCATTATCATTACTACACAGGGAGGTGGGGTGGAGGGGGTGTGTTATGGTACAACAGCTTCACCCGACTGTCAAGTTCTAAACAAAACTCACACTGAAATCATGACAGAAACACAGAAACCTGTGTTACTAAAAAAATGGCTCAGAAGTTAAGAGCACTGGCTGCTTTCCCAGAGGATTAAAGTTCAATTCCCAGAACCTACACGGCAGTTCACAACTGTCTATAATTGTAGACAGCCTAGGGGATCTGGTTTTTTTTGAGATAGGGTTTCTCTATATAACAGCCCTGTCTGTCCTGGAACTCACTCTGTAGACCAGGCTGGCCTTGAACAGAGATCCGCCTGCCTCTGCCTCCCAAGTACTGAGAGTAAAGGGGTGTTCCACCACTGCCCAGCCAGCCTAGGGGTCTTGATGGGGTTCATTTTCAATGCCAATTCAAGAATTAAAAGACAGGAAAATTCTTGAGCTGTAACAGGTAGTAGACAGCAACAGTAGAACCAGCAGTTGAAGCAAGTCTTATTGGGGGTGAGGAAACACACATGCAGCAGACACACCAAGAAAAAGACTCTACAAAGCGGGGACTTGGGAGAGCCTCCCCGCAAAAAGAAAATCCCATGGTCCCATGTTGTTGGTTTTGTTTGTTTATTTGTTTTTGGTTTTTTTGAGACAGGGGTTCTCTGTGTAGCCCTGGCTGTCCTAGAACTCGCTCTGTAGACCAGACTGCTCTCAGAGATCCTCTTGCCTTTGCCTCCCAAGTGCTGGCATTAAAGGTGTGTGCCACTACAGCCAGCTCTTTTATTTTTTGACATAGAGTGTTGTAAGTAGCCCAGGCTGTCCTGGAACTTGAGATTACCCTGTCTCAGCCTCCCAAGTGCTGGGGATATAGGTGTATGCCATCATCCTCTCTATTCAACAATTTATAGTTAAGTGTGTATCATTATGAAATATTAAGCATATAACGCTGAAATTGTTCTGTAAATACGTTTTTGTTTATAATGTGTTTTTTTTTTATATGTGCTATAGTGCGAACTTGGATGAGTCTGCCCAGGCTGGTACCAGCTCAATGCAGGTAATGGTGGATCACCAGCCTGTCGCTATTACAGTAGAGGTGAAGCAAGAAGAGGACATTAAAGCGTCCCCTCCACTGGTTCCAAATCCTCAGCACAATGATACTGTAGAGCAAAGAGAAGAGCATGAATTAATGCATGCCATGGAAGAACCCTTGTCTCCGTCGCTCTCTTCTGTTGATATGAGAATGACATCATCTCCATCTTCTATCCCAAGGAGAGATGATTTTTGTCATCATGAAAGTGGAGAACACATTAGGTCTCTGCTAAGATGTGACCCTCAGGTCCTGCAAATGTTAAAAGAGGAGCATCAGATAATTTTAGAAAACCAAAAGAATTTTGGATTGTATGTTCAGGAGAAGAGGGATGGATTGAGAAGGCGGCAGCGGCTAGAGGAGGAGCTGCTAAGAGCAAGGATTGAAGTGGAGAAGCTGAAAGCGACTCGCTTACGGCATGGTCTGCCCGAGTACAGTAGTCTCTAAGAGGTTTCCAGTCTTGCAATTTGATCACGTTAATTTTGTCAGAATTAACTTGGGAGTATCGTGAAGCTGAGCACGTGCCCTATAAAAATGTTGCTAATCTCTCTTATAAAAAAGCTTTTAACATGATTTTCTTTTCTTTTCTAAGCCTGTTTTTTTTTAACACCATTTTCTAAGTATTTAATTTTCTCTTTAGATACTAAAATTTACTGACTGGTTGACATGGTAATCCAGCTCATTGTCTTCCCTCAGTTTTTTTCTAAGACATTTAACTGTTGGTCTTATGTAAGATCTTCTATTTTGATTATAAAAGAAATAATACAAATAGAGTTGCATATGGTGCATAAGCCTGTAATCACAGCACTTGAGAGGGAAAGGCAGGTCAGAAGATCAAGCCATCCCAGTTTCAAGGTCAGCCCGTGCTATGTGAAGTCCTGTGTCAAACAAAACAAAATGCATAAAATTGTATAAATGCATAAATAGTATTTCAAAGTACTGAATCTTCAACAGTTTTAGTTACAACTTTGAAAGTTAGATTTAAGAGAGAGAGAGAGAGTTAGTGTTGGATTAAGTACCTAATAAATGGTAAGCATATACATTTGTCGCTGAGCTACATCCATAGTCCTATATTTTCTTGTTTGGAGACAAGATCTCACCCTGTAGCTCAGGCTAGCCTGGAATACAAGTCCCTCTTGCCTCAGCTGTCTGAACACTGGGATAATAGGTGTGTGCTATACTAACAGTAACAGCAAACACGTATTGATGACATTGGTTTTGTCTTTATCTTTGGAAAGAGTGGGTTAGACTTTTGAGACAGAAGATATTTGGAAAACGCTTCAATTTAGAGGTAATAAGACTGAAGTCAAGGAGGGCGCCATCATTTATTTCAGGCAGCAAAGCTTTTTATAGCAGAGTAAGCATCGGTACTTAGTTTGTTTTCTGGAGGGAGCAGGAGGTAATGGTGGTGGTAATTTGTGTTCCTTATTTATTCTATAGAAGTAAAAATCTCAGAATTATTTAACTAATTAGGAGAACTTATTTAATTACAGTCACCTTTTGGGTTGGAGATGTAGCTCAAGGGGAGAGCATTTTCTGGTATGTTTGAGGTCCCTTCTCCAGGCGACAAAAGAAAACTTACTTTTCTATTTCTACATGGTTGGGTTCGGAAGCCTAGGGTGTTGTGGCTATACCCCACCCTCCCTCCCTTTTTTTTTTCCTGCTAAAAGAGATCAGGTCTTTTTATTGAAAATAGTGCATATTTTGACCATGTGATTAAAATTATCTTAATTCATTTTAAATGTTTTTCTTAAAAATGTTTCCTTCACAGTAAAGTTAGAGTTAAACAAAATGAAAACTACTTAGAATGAAAATAACAAAAATCTTGTTTACATATAATTTAACTTGCAGATTTTTATAAGTATGATTTTTAAATATTGTACTCATGGAAATAAAATCTTGATTTTTATAAGTCTTACATATTGAATTTATGTTAACTATTTAATATGTGTCTTGCATATTTGATTTCCATTTTTTGCCGAGATTTTGATGAGGAAGGACTTTAAAAAGCCAGGTTTTCGGATGGAGCAGGTAGAGTTTCAGAAATCTGGGGGATAAGGGTGCTTGATGTCAGAGTGAGCTCTTGCAGAGACACATGCAGAGTGGGATGGCGTGGCCCAAGGTGTCCAAGCTGGATGAGTCAGGCGGCTTTGAGGTGAGGATCGGGAGAATTTGGGCTTTCGGTAACTTGAATGACCTGGGACATATTATGTAGACCAGACTGGCCTCAGTCTCACAGAGATCATCCACTTCCAGGGTGCTGGATTAAAGGTGTGCCTGGTAGACATCTTTCTTGACTACATTGGGTAGCTTCTGTTTAGTTCAAGTTGAAATTTTACATGCAGGAATACATCAGAAATCTGTATTTTGTGTGAAAATTTCCAATTTTTAAATGTTTGCAAGTCATTCAGAATGCTTTTAAAACAGTTTAGTTATGCCTCCTCCCAGACTTTCAGGCTTCCAGTTGGTGGTGTGTAGAGTAAAAAACCCAGGTGAGGATGTGGCTGTGGCTCGGTGATTCAGGGCTCTCCTGGTGTAGTCAAGGCTTTGGGTTCTGTCCACAGCACCGCAGACACAGTAGAGTTATGACAACAGTGTCAGTCTTGAATTGGATGTCAACGTTATGTTAGCTCCTTAGAAGTGTAGATCCATCTAGTGAATCAGAAACTAGGGTGGGGTTCAGCAGTCTGTGAATAGTGTCCTCGGGGATTCCTATACAGCTAAAGGTTCAGAATTGAACTTGGTGCTTGAAACATGACAGTCTCAGCAATTCTCCTTGAAGAGGAGTGTGGGTGAAATGTCAGTTGTTAGCAAATCAGGATTACATTAAATGCTGTTTTTAGGGAGTGAGATCTAACTGAATATAAAGTGAGAAGCTGTTGAAGGCTTTTTGATTATAGAGAGGACATGATTAAAGATGTGAGTTAGGAAGAATGCTATCAAATGTAGTGGTTATAGGAATAAATAAAGTGAACTCTTAGGGTACTAGGTAATTTGTTCAATTTCTCAGTGTTCAAGATCATGATATATTCTTATGGCAGTTTGCCTTTTTAATGTGTGCTGTGACTTTCACTTGAGATGTAATGAATCTTCTAATGTGAGGTAATATATTTTATATAATTTTAGTAGCTATATAGTAGAAACCTTTTTGAAATTATTGAAAGTAAGTTATGAAGTATAATTCTCATTATTTCAGCATGCTGCCACTCAGACTTGGCGATAAACATTGAGTCTGAGTATTGACTTTGTATAGAAAATCCACTTACAAGTGTCTGTAAAAAACTAACTCTGTGAAATGTTTCTAGAAAGTAAGTCAGTGTTTAAAGAAAGTACATCTTTTTTGATAGTTTGGTTCTCTATTCAGTGTGGAAATTAAAGTAATATAGATGTCTTTGAAAATTCCTTTGTTGTACATAAAATAATATTGTAATCACAGCTTTCTCTGGCATTGTTCAAATTTGCTGTTTCCTTGTGTCAAGTGACACAATTTGTTAGCAGTTAAGGGCTCTGAAGATTAATAAACCTATTTTCTTTTGTATTTTAAATCCAGAATTCCATTCATCAGAGTAAACTTACTGCAGTTTTTTATGAGTCAACATTGTTTTAATTGTAAAAGTTATACAACATATAATTCTGCCCCATTCTCTAATTCCTTCCTTTATATAACTGTTTATGAAAATATGGAAAGCATGGTTTATGAAAATACCCAAGTAAAGCAAAAAATCAGTCATTTGACCCCAGAGCCCTTCTCGAGGCTGTTGTAGAGTATCACACGGGGATGTTGAGCTAAACTCACCATCTTTTTCTTTGTGACAGTGAGACTTTGAACTTGAGGACTACCTGTGACCTGTGAGCAGATTTTGCTGAGGATGAGTTTCACTCAGCAAGTACTGAGGAGGAAGCTGGGCTTAGGGACCTTATACAATGTGGGAAATCCTGGCAACACTGAGGGCGGTTATTTTGTTCTTGTTTTAGGTGTGATTCTGTAGAGATACTTTAAATGTGGTAAATGATTATCTCATTTGATCTCCCTCTTTTTTTATTTTTGTTTTTCCGAGCAGGGTTTTTCTGTGTAGCCTTGGGTGTCTTGGAACTCACCATGTAGACTAGGCTGGCCTCGAACTCAGAGATCTGCCTGCCCCTGCCTCCAAGTGCTGGGATTAAAGGTGCGTACCACCATGCCTGGCTTTCATTTGATCTCTTAGTAATTTTGATAGTGGGTAGTTTTTGCTCCTTTCCTAACTTATCTATTTGAACTTAAATGGATGTATTATTATAAAATATTCTAAAGTAGATATGACATATAATGGTGTCCTAAGGAAAGGTAAGCTTTTTTTTCCCCCTTTTTTTCTTTTCTTTTTTTTCTGAGACGGAGTTTCTCTGTGTAGCCCTGTCTGTCTTAGAACTTGCTCTGTAGACCAGGCTGGCCTTGAACTCACAGAGATCTGCCTGCCTTTGCCTCGCAAGTGCTGGGATCAAAGGTGTGTGCCACCACTGCTCGGGTGTTTTTTTTATTTTTAATCTCATGAAATAATCAAAATAAATCCCCTTTTGATAATGAGGCGACAACTTATATAATTTTATTTTTGAGTTGATCTACTTTGCTTTATCTTTACTCACATAAATGTTTAAAATACAAATTACAGCTGTGTGCCTCCTTTTAGTGTGATGTCGTTTAAATAGACATTTAACTCTCTTAGAGTGCAGTGAATTATGTTGACTGTATTATACTGCTGCTGTCGGTGGTTAAGTGAATGCTTGTTAATACATGCTTTTTAAGAATCAGGAAGTAAGTTATACTGATTTGTATACTCTTTTTGGTGCCATAAGTCAGAGTTTAGTATAGTAGAGGTAAAAGTTTTTGATGAAGCAAACTTGAAATAAAATTATCTAGAAGACTGTAATAGATACCAATTATACTGTATCTAAATATTATACTTAAAAAAAATCTTAAGGTCCACAAATTCTCAAAGTAAAATATTTGGTTGTAAATACTTAAGAAGTAAATGAAGTATAGTACATAGTTTATAAATATAGGAGTAAGTTTTTAAATTAGGCAGTCCAATTAACATGAACAGAATCGTGCCGAATCTTTGTATACATTTTTGAGATACTATCTACATTTTTTGGGTCTAAACATGTGCTTTCATTTAGTTCTTTTAAATAATATATTAAGTACCTGTGACCCCCCCACCAGGATGATTAATGTATTTTTATAGTCTTTTGAATTGATTAAGCTAGTAGGTATAATTTGAAATTATATTATTTTTTTCAATTGCCTTGTAAATAATGAAAAATAAATGAGTAAATGCAAATAAAATATCACTCACCAGCTCAATTACTTATTTTAATATTTATTTTTGCTTTTGAGACAGTTTAATGTAACATAGGTTGGCTTTGAACTCCCTGTTTACCTAGAGATGTCCTTAAAATTCTTCCTATACCTTCTGAATGCTTCATTTAGGCAATACATAGGATCAAACCCAGGTCTTCTTGCATGCTAGCCAAGCACTCTACCAAATGAGCTAGATATCAAACATCTCCAGCTCCAAATGAATAAAGTGGACGAATCATAAGAGCTATGTTTTGTTGGTCTTTTGTGTTTGAGTCTACTTGTTAAAAACTTCTAACTCCAAACATTTTATTAACCAACTATTCAGTCATACAAAAAGATTGAAAGAATTTTGTAGCAAATATTCCTATGCCTACCTACCATGAAGAGTCTACAATCAATATTTTGCAAACATGCAGGAAGTCCTGGGTTTAATCTCCAGCCTTGGGAAAAACCAAAAAGATTCAGAATGTTGCCACGTTATCACAGTTCCCACTTACTCTTTGCTGTCAATCTCCTCATATCTCACCCAACCACTGCTAATTGTTTAAAACCCTACATAACCAGGTATGATGGTTCATGACTTTAATTCCAGTAGTTGGAGACTGAGTTGGAAACATCACAACTTAGAGGCCAGCCTGAGCTATATGTCAAGACCCTGGTCAAACAAACATAACATTAACCTGTTTTAGAGTTTCATGTAATTTCTAATTATTGCTTAAAAAATAAGCTGTCAGTGCTGGCTCATTTTATGTTAACCTGATGCAGGCTAGAGTCATTTCAAAGATGGGGACCACAACTGAGAAAATGCATCCATTGGATTGGGCTGCAGGCAAGCCTGTAGGGCATTTTCTTAATTAGTGATTAATGTCAGAGGGCCCAGCCCATTGTGGGTGGTGCCATCCCTGGGCTGGTGGTCCTGGGTTCTGTAAGAAAGCAGGCTGAACAAGCCATAGGGAGCAAGCCAGTAAGCAGCACTTCATGGCCTCTGTATCAGCTCCTGCCTCCTGGTTCCTGCCCTGTTTGAGGTCTTATCCTAATTTCCTTCAGTGATGGACTATGATGTGGAAGTGTAAGCCGGATAAACCCTTTCCTCCCCAACTAGTATTTGGTCATGGTGTTTCATAGCAATAGTAACCCTCACTAGGACACTATCAATGTTTTAGTATTTTTTTTTCCCCCCTCTCCTCTTATTAGTAGTTCATTGCATTGTTATTGTGGAATGGTATTCCACTGCATAAATCTTGAAAGAAATATATTTTTATTTTACATATAACACTTGAACTTGGACATTCACTATTTTTTATTGAGAAAAGAAAGTTATAGGTAATTTTCAATTTGAAGCCATTTATATATTATTGTATACTTTAAGAAAATTATAGAGGGAGGTGGTGTCACACACCTTTAATCCCAGTACTTGGGAGGCAGGGGGATCTCTGAGTTCTAGGCCATCCTGGTTTTCAGAGTAAGTTCCAGGATAGCTAGGAATACACGGAGAAACTATCTCGAAAAACCAAAAGAAGAAATTGTGTGTGTATGGGTGTTTTGCCTGCATGTATGTCTGGGCACCACAGCTGTGCTTGTGTCTGTGGGAGCCGGAAGAGGGCATTTGATCCCTGGGACTGGATTCGAGTTACAGATCGCTGTGAATAGTCCTCTGGTAGAACAGCCAGTGTTCTTGGCCACTGGGCCATCTTTTCAGTCCTCACTGTTTACTTCTTTAGTGTCACGAAAGCTTTCTTGGGCCGGTGTTGGAGCTTAGTTTATAGCGTGCTTACCTAGCATGCGTGAGGCCCAGGTTCAGTCTGTAGCTCTACACATAGTATGTGCTTTTTTCCTCTGTAATCCCAGCATGCAAGGAAGTAGAGGCAGGAGGGCAAGCATCATCATTGGCTAGATTTTGAAGCCAGTCTGGACTACACAAGACTTGTTTCCTTGCCTACCACAAATAGAAAAAAAAAATTAAGTTTCTGTTTTAGTTCCATGTTATTGCATATGTGGTGGGTTGACTGAGAATGCCCCCACAGGCTCATATATTTGAATGTTTGGTTCCCAGGTGGTGGATTGTTTAGGAAGGATTAGGAGGTGTGGCCTTGTTGGAGGAGGTGTGTCACTAGGAGTGGGGCTTTGAGGTTTCAAAGGCCCGTGCCAGACCGTCTCCCTCTTTGTGCCGTCTGCCTGTGGATCAGGATGAGGCTGTCAGTTACTGCTCCAGCACTGTGCCTGATTGCCATACTCCCTGCCCTGGTGGTCTAGACTAACCCATAATTAAGAACTCTCTTCTGTAAGTTTGGTGTTTCTTCACAGCAGTAGAAGAGAACTAAGACATATTTGAAGTTATGGAAGTTTTGGTAATTTTAATAAAAAAAATCTGTGGGAATTTTTAGTTTTGGAATTGATTACATAAGTCAGTTTACATTTCCAACCTGAACATTTAGAATTGTTAAAACAGAAAAGAATGTGAAAGGCTTGGGCGTAAAGATATACACTGATGTTATCCTTTCTTAGGAATCCTTCGTTACAATCAAAGTGCCAAGGCTGGGTGTGGTAACATACTCCTTCAAACCCAGCATTGCGGTGGATCTCTGTGAGTTCTGTGTGTCGAGTTCCAGGTCGGTCACGCCTACAGTGAGACCCTGTCTCAAAGAAAAAGATGAGATGCCTGCCATTAATAAGAAAGTACCGGCGGGCGGTGGTGGCGCACGCCTTTAATCCCAGCACTCGGGAGGCAGAGCCAGGCGGATCTCTGTGAGTTCGAGGCTAGCCTGGGCTACCAAGTGAGTTCCAGGAAAGGCGCAAAGCTACACAGAGAAACCCTGTCTCGAAAAACCAAAAAAAAAAAAAAAAAAAAGTACCTTATTTCCCTCAAGACTTGGTTTTACCCTTTGCTCTTGCCGAAAGGCCCTTAAGTCTCGTTTCTTTTCTTTTTTTCCTTTCCTTTTATTTCTGTATTGATTGAGGAAGTATACTCTAGGGTCTAGGAGGAGCTAGAATGGAATGGATTTCAGAAATAACAGTTACTGTGATAGTGGAATTTGGGGGTGGTAAATGAATGTTTTCTGTGGTAAAG